TAGAGATTTATTACCTATAATAAACGTTCATATTAAGTTAAGACAACTTTTCATTTAGAGGTGGGAGTGTTTCGTTATGCAAAAACAAATCGGACAGTAATCGTAAGAGCGACTCCTCCTAAGCGATGGATTTATATACAAAATGCCGGCAATGTTTTTACAGTAGAATGGACTCTTGCAATGATAAGTTTCAATACTTTTCATTCATTGTTAATGGCATTGTCGACCAGTACCTTCCAATGAAACGTATAAAATCGGATAGTAGCGATAAGCCCTGGGTAACATCTGAGATCAAAAGATTAATCTCCAAACGTCATGATCAAGCAGCTTGGAATAGCGGAAACAATATCATGTTCCATCTCTACAGAAACAAAGTAAATATGCTTTGTAAGAGAGCTCGTTCAAGATTTTACAACAGCAATGTCGCCGACTGTTTTGAATCAAATCCGCATAAGTGGTGGTCCAACATAAAAAACATAGCTGGCCTTGGTGCAACGAAAAACGTTTCCACTATCTTATACAATGATCAATCCTACTCAGGCTCCGCCCTAGCTAACTTGTTTAACGAGAAGTTTGTTGCTGAAGGAAGCACCCTTCCCCCATTCTCATGGACACCCATTGCAGTTGATGACGTTCCTTTAGATTTCTATATCTCCATTGATGAAGTTGAGAAAGCACTAATATCTGTAAAATCTCATTCGGCGGCAGGTCCAGATGAGATTTCTCCTTGGCTCCTCCGTGAGAACTCTGCCTCCCTATCCCGCCCATTGGCATCCATTTTCAATGCTTCTATCCAAGAAGGAAACATCCCGTTGTTGTGAAAATCCGCCAATGTGTCTCCTGTGCCAAAATCGTCACCTGCCCTGGATATTGATTCTGATTTTAGACTGATCTCTCTTACGCCAATTGTAAGCAAGATCTTAGAGTCATTCCCTCATAGCTGGCTTTTACGGTCAGTTAGCGGTCAAATTGATAACCTCCAATTTGGTGCGCTTAAAAGATCAAGTTCCACAATGGCATTATTATATATGTTCCATAAATGGTACGAAGCCATGGACACACCCAGCACCTGTCTTCGAATCTGTACGTTGGACTTCTCAAAAGCATTTGACCGGATTGACTTCAACATCTTACTTCAAAAATTGATAAATATGGGCATACATCCTGTCCTTATTAATTGGATCGCCAACTTTCTCACAGACAGAAGACAGCGTACAAGAATCGGCCCGAATTATTCTTGTTGGAGGCCAATCAATGGTGGTGTCCCACTTGGCCCCTTGCTCTTTTTTCTTTAGTGAACGACCTCAAGGTCTCTGACGATTCTGTTAAATTCGTAGACGACACTAGTTTATGGGAAATAATTACGAGCGCCCAATCGTCTGCTTCAGTCTTACCGGCACAAATTAGTGAATGCTCCAGTTGGGTGGCCAAAAACAATATGAAATTGAATCCCACTAAAGGCGGTTTTCCACTAGGCGAAATTTTTCGACCGAATCGAAATTTCTCTTTGTTTCATGAGCTCTCGAGCAAAACTAATTGTAAAAAGACAAAGAGAAATTTCGTTTCGGTCGAAATATTCCGCCTCGTGGAATCAGGCCTTCAAACCAAGGAAATTCGAGTATGTTTTTCGACTTATGATACCGAAGCACTTCCTCCACTTACCATTGATGGCTGTAACATTTCTGTCGTGTCACATGCTAAATTACTCGGATTAATCATCTCCGAAGACCTCAAGTGGGTTCTTCATGTTGATTTCATTTGTAAGAAAGCTGCGAAGCGTCTGCATGCTCTACGATTATTAAAGAGATCTTCCATTCCATCAAGCAAGTTAGTGTGAGTGTTTATTACATGCATTAGACCAATTTTAGAATACTCGTGCGAAGTATGGTATCACAGTTTGCCCCAGTATTTAAGTGATCAGATCGAAAGGATCCAACGCAGAGCCCTACGAATAATCTTCCCAGATTGTTGTTATGATATTGCAATGGACCGCGCCGGTGTGGTGTCGTTATTCATACGGAGAGAGACGATCTGTAAGAGATTTTTGGAACGAATGCGTACTGACGAAGCACACAAGTTACATTCCCTTGTCCCTTCCAATCGGGATACAGAATATTCCCTTCGGGGTGGTAATAACAAACTATCAATACCTAGGTGTAGAACTAATAGATATGCAAACAGTTTCATAATTGCTGGAAGTAAAGCTTTTACCATTAGTAAAACTTAATATAATTAACCATGTAATTATTACTATAATAATTCTTAAGGCGGTTTTCCACTAGGCGAAATTTTTCGACCGAATCGAAATTTCTCTTTGTTTCAGAGCTCTCGAGCAGAACTAATTGTAAAAAGACAAAGAGAAATTTCGTTTCGGTCGAAAAATTCCGCCTCGTGGAATCCGGCCTTTAATCTGATTGTATTTTGTATTTCATTCCTTTTAATCTTGTAAACCGATGTAATTTACTCCTTGACTGCTAAATCAGTCTTTTTAATAAATCTTTAAATCTTTAAATTACAAACGTGTTCCCTTTATACCAGTTCTACAGCCTGGCACGCAAGGCCATGGAGATCGTCATTAATAAGGCAATTCTATAATACAAGTATAAATATACACACTATGCACGCGTTTAAGTAATATCGTTCGTTGCATGATGAGAACTAAAATCAAGCGCGCAGCAAGATGTCCATTACATGATATGACAGGTTCAGGACCTCGGGTGCAGGCGGAGACATGCAAATAAACTTAAGATGTGACACTTAAAGATGAGGTCAAGTCGAAGTTAGATGTAATATATGAACAACGAGAGCGAGTGTTTCACCGGGATATCCAAACACGAGAAAACAATGTATGAAAACACAAGCGCGAAGCGCGAGTAATTTTTCAAGTAATTTTGCATGCGTAATTAAGATATTTGATGAAAAGATCTTGTGATCTAATAGGTGATTATCATTGGCTGAATTACTCATGAATTATTAATGATTTTTTGGCCATTCGGAAAATTACGGCAATAATAGTATAACAAAGAAAATATTATAAAATGGTATTGTCAGTATAAACCATTAGTATAAACTGATTTACGAAATCACGGCATTTACATGGATAACATAAAACAAATCGTAAATCGGTAAATGTTTTTCGGTTTATTACTTCTTAGGGCCGTAGCAGTCGGGGGGACGGGGGGGGGGACTGGGGGGAAAGCAAGAAATACATATCAAGAAGCTGACAAAGTGACGTCCAATCGAAGTATCAAACGAATAATGCAGCGACAACCGCGATGATACTTTGTCTTCGATAAATGCATGGATAATTAATTCTTGCGATAATGCATGGATAATTAATTCATTTTATTTCGGATATCGAAGTCCGATCCGATCCGACTACGAAACAACTTTATCAATCCGATCCGAAATTTATATTTTGGTTCCGAAATCCGAACGAATCGGATCGGTTTCGGATCGGATTTGCACACCTCTACAATAGACCTTTCACCTTATGAGTGAAATTTTGATCTAGACAAACCAGGACAAAAATTTCACCACAGCTTGAAAGAGCATCACAAAATTAGTAATATTCCGAAGTTTCGTTGAATGTTGTAAAATGCGGATGAAGTTTCGTTGAATGTTGTAAAATGCGGATAATATAGCCTTGCAAAGTTTGCCGTTTTTCAGTCATTTTGCATTACAAACGGAAATTGATAATCAGATGATCAAACTGATTCTCAATTTCCCATTTGTAATACAATGACTGAAAAACGGCAAATTTCGCATGGCTATATTATGATAATCTGCATTTTACAACATTTTGCAACGAAACTTCGGAATATTACTAACTTTGTGATGCTTTTTCAAGCTGTGATGAAATTTTTGTCGAGGCTTGTCTAGATCAAAATTTCACTCATAAGGTGAAAGTCTATTGATTAATTTTAAGCGGCTACATTATCCATGACAAACCGCAAAAAATCATATTACCCATACTCTTTCCTGCAATATATAGTTAATTATTAAATACGCCTTCGCCCATTTAGTTCTACTAAATTGTAAGCAAATTGTAAATTTCGACATACTAAAACTCTATTAACAACTCGAACCGACTTGACCTCGTAGCTCAGTTGGCAGAGCATTGGACCAGTATCCCAAAAGTCGCGGGTTCGATTCGTGGCCAAGCAAACTTTTCAGCTTGCCCGCTGTGGATGCATAGTCAGAGTAACATCACAAATATCATACTAAAACTCTGTTTTCTGACCATCAGAATTCTGTCAAAACTTCCCCAGAGTCCAGGAAATTTTGCGAAAGTTTTTGTTTTATATTATACTGGATTATTCCTTTGATTGTATATGCCTCTTGTTTACTTTAATTTCGAGAATTTGAGCTTACTAATTATGTTTCGCAAATATTGTTTGCTTTATGTTCCGACAGGAAATGAAATTAGTTCAGCCGTCATAGGCGTACGGGCGGGAGCCAGAAAGAAAATTTACCCGACTTTTACCCACTGAATAAAATTTTCCGTGTTAGTCTAGGACCTGTATATGAGTTTGTATGCGTTTCATTTAGCACAGGTAATCTCAACTGTTTTAGGGTAAAATGACCATGGCGGTCAACATGGCATATGTGCCAAAACCTGAATCCGGGACGAAAGTCCTGAAAATGACCCGCCCTGAAACGGCAGTGTCGACATAGCTCTAACTTCAGAAAACAAAAAGCGATGATAGTCTTTCTGAAGTGCTTATAGTGTTTTGAAGGGTTGCTTTTAGGGGTGGTCATTGGAAGAAAAAATTTGTCTAAGTATAATATTTTACAAGAAAATGACCATGCACCACCCCAGGTAAATTGCTAATTATGCATAAAATAACTAATATGCCTGGCAGAAATTAAATATTCTTATTTCCTAAAAAAATTTATCATGGGGTGAAAAACTATGCTTAATTTAATATAAATATTGTTGATATCATAAGGATTGTCATTGTTTTCTTTAAATATAATACATTTTATTTCACTTACCCCCCAGGCCAAAAAAAAAAATATGTGGGTTTCCGGTTTCTTCTTATAAAAAACTTAGCTTACTTAGGTAGGGTAGGTCGGTTTCAACTTTTTTTTTTTAAACTTTTTTTTTAATTTTCCGAACAACCGGACGCCATTTTGTTTAGTCGGTGCTTCCACATCCAAAGATAAATTTCCTTACTATTGCCTCAAATTTCAATTTTCCACAAACTTTTTCCTCTAAGTGGAAACACTTACAAGCATGATCCAATAAAAAAGTTTAGGGTCGGGATTTCGACGTCCAAAAGCTAGGTAGGGTCGGGAAACCGGAAACCCACATATTTTTTTTTTGGCCCCACGAAAACACGATTTCAGCCATATTTTGCCGTCTTGTTTGCTTTTTATTGCCGAATCTCGCAAATATCATCCAGTTATTGTACTTTTACATAATCATAAATGGCTGACGAAGATTTCAAAGAAGGTTTCATCCACTTTTGAAACAGTGCAGTGTATTTTATCTTCGATATTGTGTCCTTCGATATTTCGTCAAATTGCCGCCATTTTAATGGCTCGCCGCTTCTCTGCTCGATAAATGCCACTTCTTCGTTTGCATATGTATTTAGATTACATTATCCAAGAGTACTTCATTGTAGAATAGTCCCAATCCAAAAATTGGAAATATTATTTGTACTTGGGAGTAAAAAACCTCCCATAATAGTTGTCCTGTCAGAATTCAAAAGAAGTAATTTAAAAGTCACGCGCAAGTTCGCGAAAACACCTCGTGGGTTACATAACAGAGGGAGGTGAATATTTTCACGAAACGTTTGTTCGCCACCACAGCAACCTAACTAAGTACATTATATTTATTGTATATTTGTGATTTATGAAAAAAATATATATATTTGCGTATTTTTATCATCAATTATAAAAATACAAAAAATATAATACATTTAGTTAGGTTGCTGTGGGAACTTGCGCGTGACTTTTAAATTACTTCTTTTGAATTCTGACAGGATCACAGGACAACTATTATGGGAGGTTTTTCCTCCCAAGTACAAATAATATTTCCAATTTTTGGATTGGGACTATTCTACAAAGAAGTACTCTTGGATAATGTAATCTAAATACATATGAAAACGAAGAAGTGGCATTTATCGGGCAGAGAAGCGGCGAGCCATTAAAATGGCGGCAATTTGATGAAATATCGAAGGACACAATATCGAAGATAAAATACACTGCACTGTTTCAAAAGTGGATGAAACCTTCTTTGAAATCTTCGTCAGCCATTTATGATTATGTAAAAGTACAACAACTGAATGATATTTGCGAGATTCGGCGATAAAAAGCAAACAAGACGGCAAAATATGGCTGAAATCGTGTTTTCGTGGGGGGTAAGTGAAATAAAATGTATTATATTTAAAGAAAACAATGACAATCCTTATGATATCAACAATATTTATATTAAATTAAGCATAGTTTTTCACCCCATGATAATTTTTTTTAGTCTTTTTAGGAAATAAGAATATTTCATTTCTGCCAGGCATATTAGTTATTTTATGCATAATTAGCAATTTACCTGGGGTGGTGCATGGTCATTTTCTTGTAAAATATTATACTTAGACAAATTTTTTCTTCCAATGACCACCCTAAAAGCAACCCTTCTAAACACTATAAGCACTTCAGAAAGACTATCGCTTTTTGTTTTCTGAAGTTAGAGCTATGTTGACACTGCCGTTTCAGGGCGGGGTCATTTTCAGGACTTTCGTCCCGGATTCAGCTTTTGGCACATATGCCATGTTGACCGCCGTGGTCATTTTACCCTAAAATAGTTGAGATTACCTGTGCTAAATGAAACGCATACAAACTCATATACAGGTCCTAGACTATGTAACTAAATTTCAAAAATTGTCGTTGGGAAGTAGATAAAAATATTTTCCTATTTGTCGATTCCTCGTTACTTTTACATATTTCTGGTATTATCAAATACCATATTGCATGTACTGTCTTCTTTTTAAATTTATTTCCCCCAATTTTTGCCCAAATTTATACGTTTATAATTTGCATGACTTTATTTTGACTGGGAGGCGGGACTGCCTCCCCCCCCCCCCCTCGCCCGTATGGCTATAATCAGACGTTGTTACGGATCGGTTATATATTGTGTTAAAAATATTTTGACTTTGTTGTTTCTGATGACATTTGCCGACTCTCGACTTTTTACTCTCGATCGACTCTCGACTTTTTACTCTCGATCGACTCTCGACTTTTTACTCTCGATCGACTCTCGACTTTTTACTCTCGACTCTCGACTTTTTACTCTCGACTCTCGACTTTTACTCTCGACTCTCGACTTTTACTCTCGACTCTCGACTTTTACTCTCGACTCTCGACTTTTAGATACACTCAATCTCGTTCCCCGAGCATGCCCGTTCGCAGGTTAAGGGTGGGCATAGCTCTGGAGAAATCGAATTGATTCAGGCCTGTGATTGGCTAACGGCAGATAGTACGTTGGATTTCCAACGTGAGTTCTATATAAACAAAGTATTTGGAATTTCTCGTCGAAAATTTGATACTTTTTACACCGAAATCGATTGAAAACAACTAGAAATTCTGGAGGAAATATGTACGAAAGCTGCGGATTGATAGGGATACAACTACCTGAAAAATACAAGGAGAACTTCGACGTTTCGAGCGAAGGCGCTTCGACTTGTGCCGTTAGTGTTTGTATACATCGTACTTGACCTTTTATATACTGTCATACCTAACACTACGTATACCATAAATTCTGACAGAAGAGTTACATATAAATTAAAAAAATATATAATACTTATTATTGAGGAGATTATATTTATCAGCAAAGGTCAAGTACGATGTATACAAACACTATTAACAGTACAGATCGAAGCGCCTTCGCTCGAAACGTCGAAGTTCTCCTTGTATTTTTCAGGTAGCTGTATCCCTATCCAACCGAAGCTTTCGTACATATTTCCCCCAGATTTTTTAGTTGTTTTCAATTCGATTTCAGTGTAAAATGTATCAAATTTTCGACGCGAAATTCTAAATACTTTATTTATATTTTGCAACATTGCCGAGCATGCGTAGAACTAACGTTGGAAATTCAACGTGAATCAATTCGATTTCTCCAGAGCTATGCCCACCATAGATATCTCATATACACTAGATAGCGCATCTCGGAATACAAAACTGAAGCCAAAAATCTCAGCGGTTTCCCCCATGAAAATAGGCGGCGGCCATATTGGTCGTTCCCACTCATCAATGAAATGCTATAGAAAATACTATACTTTTCGAGGCTTTTTTGCATTTCTGGATTATAAATACCTTTTTGAGGTACGTTCGCCTTGAAATCGCAGCTTTTTTGGAAAAGGGTACAAGAAAAAAACATTAATTGGCGATATTGTTGTCTTTAAATCGCATTTTAAAGCTAAAAATTTCGAATTACAACATTCTTTATATATTTGTTTTGAATCTGTGAATGATTCTCTGGTGAAGTATCGTCTAATCAATACATGTACTTACGGTTTCTGGCACCACTTTATGGAAATGGAAGTTGGTAAGTAACGTTTCAACTATCGGCGTAGGCAGTTTATACTGTAAAAAACCAGTACACTTACACTAAAAGTACACTTTCAGTTTGGGCAGTTTTCACTGTAAACCTTTGTGAAATGTTTGAGACTGTCTGAGTCTGCACTTTCAGCTTGGATAGTTTTCACTCTAAATCTTTACTGAAATGTTTGAGACAGAGTTTGCACTTTCAGCTTGGGCAGTTTTCACTATAAATCTTTAGTAAAATTATGTTTGAGACAGAGTCTGCACTTTCAGCTTGGGCAGTTTCATAGTAAATTTTAGTAATATTTAGCTTTCTCTGATACATTCTGTGTAATCACTCACACTGGTGCTTACAGTAAAAGGTACAAGTTTATTTAATTTCTTTCTAATTTTTTGTCCAGATGAATTCTCAGTGGTCTTTTTTCCAAGATGGTAAAATTTAACCTCACAGTAACTCTTGATGATGCTCTTGGTCAACTGAAATATAACATGATTTTCACCAACTGGTGAGTCAAAAATATGGTGATCTAGCTCAGTAAAAAGACTGTGTATGCACAATGAAGCCAGAACATATGGACAATGAACAATGAAGCCAGAACAGGAGTGGTCAGAACATACAAGTGTCTGCTTTTTGAGAACAGAACAGTATGGACAATGCAACCAGAACAAAAGTGGTCAGAACATATAAACATCTGCTTTTTGGGTGACCACTTTTCTTGATGAACATTTTGTATCAACTGTTTTCATAGTAATTCATCCTTAGGGATGTTTATCATGTTAATGCAAGTCTAATTTCAATCAATATAATACTGTAAAAAACTAAAAATAAATTGCTTACTGATGAAATGTCCTGGGAAGTTTTCTTTTGATTTTTTATTCTGTCATTTGACCCTTCACTATTACTTCTTATACTTTTTGCATCAGGAATGACTTTACCCATTGCTATGAAATTTTCTGAGTTTAATTCAAATTTTTAATTTCAATTTGCACCAAAACTTCTTCAGGTCTCCAAATTTTTTTAAAAATTGGACATTTTTTTAATGATATT